AGGGTTTAGCCCCTCTTGTGGCGTGTGACATCATATTTTCCTCTCAGCAGATACAGACTTGGTGACAAACTGAAGGGGAAAAAAAGACTCGGCTAAGGGTTGGACCATCACTCACACCTCGGCATCAATTTCAAAAATCCACGGAGCTCCTTTGATGGAGTGACGAAGCACCTTTCTTTCAGGAGATCTTTTTAACGAGGCTGGAGGACAGCGCCGTCTCACACGCCGGTCTGGTCTGAGTTATCACTGCAAAATTGTCCCAGTCCAGTTTTCATGCTGCAGACAAATGATGGCGGTTGCAGAGAAACGGCTTCAGTTCGAGGCGGATCGGTGGGCCAGCTTGATGTCACCGGTCGTTTAGCGGGAATAGTTCAAACACGAGGCTTGTGGAGGAAAAACTCAAGTTGGATAAAGGCGTAGTTTAGTGGAGTTGCTGTGCGGGCGACGGTGGCACAGGAGTTAAGTGGGCGCCCCGTAACCGGAATGGTGCAGGTATGAGCCCAGCTCAGTCAGTCGCTGTCGTCGTGTCCTTGGGCAAGACACTTCACCCTCCTTACCTGCTGGTGCTGGTCGGAGGGACCGGTGGCGTCTGTGCTCAGCAGCCACGCCTCCTTCAGTGAGCCCCAGGGCAGCTGTGGCTACAATGTAGCTCATCACCACCAACGTGTGAATGTGTGTGTGAATGGGTGAATGATACACTGTAGTGTAAAGCGCTTTGGAGTCCTCTGGCTTTACAAGTGCAGGTCATTTATCATGATTGGCTAACCGTCATAACCAACAAGCACTTGTTTGTCCTCGATATCGGACCGAGACAATCCAGCTATGGTAAATTTCTTGTATTTGTATAGCTCCATCTGGGGCTCTACAAACCCCCAAGGTACTTTACAACACATCCAGTCATTCACCCATTCACACACACATTCACATGCTGCTTTTGATTAGCTTGATTTTATCCACAGCTGCCCTGGGGCACAATGAAGGAGGCGATGCTGCAGAACACAGGCACCACCGGTCCCACCGTCCGCCACCAGCAGCCGAGGAGGGTTAAGTGTCTTGGCCAAGGACTGGGGCTTGATCCTGCAACCCGATAATTACAGGTAGGGCGCTCGACTCCCCTTTCACCATTGCTCTACTCCGACTTTTGATTGGAGCCGTTCTTCCGAGCACACCAGGGCGTTCTTACCACACCACACACGGCAGGAATATCTGATAAGATTACCTTTAGAGCCGTCATGGTACTCAGCGGTGTCTTCCAGGTTACAAATCAGCATAAATATCTCAGTGTGTTAACATGAGACAAGACAAAAATCAGAGGAACTTTGGTGCCAACATGGCTTTCCTGTAGGAGCCAGGTTTATTGTGTTCACCGTCACACTCCCGGTTTCATTCTGCGAACAAAACCTTGAAAATGTGTTTATGAATGTAACCAACATCCTGCAGAGTTCCCATTCTTTGTGTTCATTCAGGTCCTTTTACAGGGTTTTAATAAAGTCTCCTTCCAGAGCTTGACCGTAGAGTTTTTTCACGACCTTCCTCTCCTGCACTCTACATCGTTCCCACTGGACTGTTTAAGAAGCATGTTACAGCCAATCCTGTCAGCTGAAAATTGTAATCATTCACGTGCCCCTGGGCTATTTTTCAACTGTTTTAAATATTCTATTGTTTAACTTTCTAGAAAAACAACCAATTCCTCATCCTTACATCAAAGCATGTTTCTAGATTATCTCTGGTTTGGAATAAAAACCAGTTTCACAGCTGCGGTCATTCATGAATAGTGATGCGTTCAGCCTGATTTTAGAGCAGCCGGCTGCTAAAACTTCCACTTTAGGACAAACTACCCGAGTCCCAAAAAGACAAACGTCAACAGAAGACGTTTGGACCTGGAAAACGGATGCTGGTGTTTAGCTCTATCTCGTTTCCTCTGGCAAAGCAGGTTTCCGGTTCCAGTGAACGTGTCCTGGGGATGATAGCCAATGGGAGGGGTGAGAGTTATTGTGTTTAAAAGCCAGGTTGTTCTGTACATTTGCAGCTTTAACTACTAGTTTATTTTGTTTTTTGCAGTAAGTTCTGAAAGTTCCAGAAGTTTCTTAAATGATGCTGAGTCAACAGGATATCCTGTTCAGTCCTTAAGTGGTATATACCAGCTGATCGGATCAGTGAGCAACCGGCTCGTGGTTCCATCCATCCATCCATTTTCTCATGCTTATCCGGAGTCGGGTCGCGGGGGCAGCAGCCTAAGGCGAGAGGCCCAGACTTCCCTCTCCCCAGCCACTTGGGCCAGCTCCTCCGGGGGAATCCCAAGGTGTTCCTGGCCATCCAGGAGACATAGTCTCTCCAGCGTGTCCTGGGTCTACCTTTAGGTCTCCTCCCGGTTGGACGTGCCCGGAAAACCTCACCAGGGAGGCGTCCAGGAGGCGTCCTGACCAGATGCTCGAGCCACCTCAACTGGCTCCTCTCGATGTGGAGGAGCAGCGGGTCTACTGCGAGCCCCTCTTGGACGACTGAGCTTCTCACCCTATCTCTAAGAGAGAGCCCAGCCACTCTGCGGAGAAAACTCATTTTGGCCGCTTGTATCCGTGATCTCGTTCTTTCGGTCACTACCCAAAGCTCGTGACCATAGGTGAGGGTAGGAGCGTAGATCGACCGGTAAATCGAGAGCTTCGCCTTCTGACTCGGCTCTCTCTTCACCACGACAGACCGGTACAACGCCCTCATCGCAGCAGACGCAGCACCAATCCACCTATCGATCTCGCGCTCCAGCTTTCCCTCTCTCGTGAACAAGACAAAGCAAAGCTGCATTACTTATAGAGCCCATTTCTAACACCGAGGCAATTCAGTGTGCTTTACAATTATCAGGACATGATATGAAAACAACATCAAAACACAAATTAAAATACGCACAAATGGAAGTACAGTTTAGAGCTAAAGGAGAAGGCAAAGTTACAGTAAAGATGGCGCATGATAAGGAACAATTCAGCTGATGAGTACATGAGGGTCGGGGCACGTCTGAGGTCATGGGGGAGCTGATTCCATACGTGAGCAGCATAGTAGCTAAATGCATCTCCGCCATGTTTGGTTCTGACCCGAGGTTCTACCAGCTGATTGTTTCCCAGGGGTCTCAGAGCCCTATTGGGTGTTTATACAGGAATGAGATCAGACGTGTATTCTGGTCCCATGCCATCGAGTGATTTATAAACTAGTAGCAGCACTTTGAAGTCTATTCTGTGGTTTACTGGTAACCAGTGTAGGGATCTAAGAACAGGAGTGGTGTGCTCCGTTCTCCTAGTTCTTGTTAGGACTCTAGCAGCAGCCTTCTGAACAAGCTGCAGCTGCTTCACAGCTTTTCTGAGAAGACCAGTTAGGAGACCATAGCAGTAGTCCAGCCGACTAGAAATAAAAGCATGAATGAGTTTCTCTAAGTCTGGTCTGGACACGAGACCTCTGACTCCTGACGTTTGATGAAGGTGATAAAACGCTGATTTAGTTACAGCCTTCATATGTCCAGAGAAGCTCAGGTCTGAGTCCATGATAACACCTGGATTTCTAATCTGGGTCGTTGTCTTTATTCCCCTGAGTCCAGCTGAGCAATAGCATCCATCCTAACCTTCTTGTTGCCAAAGACAATAACTTCAGTCTTGTCTTTGTTTAGCTGAAGGACGTTTGACTGCATCCAGTCGTTTACTTGCTCTAGACACTGACAGAGTGAGTCCAGTGGCCGACAGTCGCTAGGTGATAAGGCTAGGTAGACCCCGAGATTCAATTCAATTCAAAAATACTTTATTACTCCCAGAGGGAAATTGATTAAATACTTAAACTCCTCCACTTGGGGCAGGACATCAACCCGGCTCGTGGTTTCTGAATACATTTTGTTTTTAACATGGAACACTTTATATGATTTGACTTATTTCAGGAATCATTAGATTACACGGTGCTGTGAGGTGTGCAGCCGTGCATAATAATGAGTTGGTTTTGTTTGATTTTGCCTAATTTACATCACAGAGATCAGCTGCAGTGGCTCTTATGTCAGAGGTTAAAGGTCTCAGACATGTTAGTGATGTCGGACCGGAAAACACAAACTTCCATGAGAAGAGCAAACCTGCAAACCCAATCAGACCCCCACCTCCCATGAACAGGGCAGCCATACGTAAATGAAGATGAGGTTACAGTACAAACATCGAGTTCGTGTTTCTGAGGTGTTTTCTGATTGTCTAAAACACAAGGAGCTCCGTCTCTTCAACCCGTTGCATTTTCTGTGTAAATTCTCATCAAAAGGACCCGTCAGAAACCGGAGCTCTGCTTGGACTCACTTAATGATGGAAACTTTCACAAAGTGCACATGTTCTGGCTTTTAGGACCAAAATATTTATTTCTGTGCTTTTGCGTTCCTCATTTCTCACTCTAAAGACGTCTGCATGTCCTGTGCAGATGGATTTCATGTGTTTGCATGGAAAACTTGAACGCTCTGCTCTACCGAGTGTTACTGGATCATTAAGAGGAAGCTGTCATTTACACTTTCTGCTGTAAACATTCCAAACCCACGGTGAAACAACTGAGAAATCACCTTGTTTATTCTTATCATTTAGCATTGCTTTGGCTGTGGGGCCCAGAGCCTTGGACAAATATGCCCAAGGCTCTTTGAAGGTGGGGGGCAGCTAACACACATGCATGGGGGAATACAGTAAAGTAAATGAGAAGACTGCAGCATGTCAACCTGCAACTGTTGATGTGCTTCCTGAGGGTCCCTGGCTGTCAGAGGGGAGTGAAAGAAGCTGACTGTTAATAAGAGGAGAGAGGGCTTGTAAAGATGAGTCTGCAGCAGCCAGAAAACGTGTTCGAATGAAGGTAAAACGTGTGAGTAATGACTGCCGCGAGCATCAGAAACCAGGAGATACCTGCTGATCGGTGGGCTGATGCGTCTGTCTGCTACAGTCTTCTCAGCGAGAGCAGAGACAAACCAGAAGAGCTCATGTGGAGGAGGGATAGCAAGCCTACTGGCTCACCTGGTTGATGTGTTTGAGTTTATCGATGATCTGGCTGATGACCGGCTCCGGGGGCTTGTTGTTCTTAGCCTCTGAAGCTGACAGCAGCCGTTTCAACCCCGGACCTATAAACCTGAGCAGAGAACAAGACCAGAATTATTCCGAGGAGTTCCAGGGATCAGACAAACGCTCCAAGGATGTGTGTGAGCATCCCTCTGGATGTGGTGTTTATCACCACCTAGTGTTGGTGGAGTAAATGACGGGTCATCTAAGGTGGAAAACCCATTTGTAACTGAGCTCCAGCTAAAGAATTCCTCAGTGGAAAAGCATTCACACAGACATCAACATTTTTCCACTAAGCGTTGTTTAATTGTGGATTTTGTGATTGACTAAAGACCACAAACTGAGTTTTTGGGCCCAATCCAAACGTAAATCAGCGCCAGCCTTCATAAGTAATCCATCTTAGAGTTTAATAAGCATGTTTATACACCCCGTTTATGCGCATATTTTTCCAGAAGGAGACACAATTCTCAGATGGATTTAACTACTGTGCATAATTAATTTGGTGATTAGTTTTATGCATATTAACCTTCCAATTAGCGACTCTTTAATCATGAAAAAACATCAGCAGAGATGTATTTGTGTCCTGCTGAAGCTGCTGGTATATTTAGGTACAACAGGCGAGTGCTTACACGTCTTCATGTGCCACTGAGGAAATGCTGCTCTGTTGATTCTTGTGTAGTTATGAGGAGCAGGAGGAGGAGGAGGAGGAGGAGGAGGAGGAGGAGGAGGAGGAGGAGCTGCAGCGACTAAAAGGGGGATTCCTCTCCCCGACTTTCATGTCGAGATTTCTAGTTGTGCCAGGAATTAACCCCCTCCCTCGTATTATTACAGCTCTGAGGACGAGACTACCTACTGCAGCATGTATGAGACTCATACTCATGTGTGCTTGAGTGCTTGTGTGTGTGTGTGTGTGTGTGTGTGTGTGTGTGTGTGTGTGTGTGTGTGTGTGTGTGTGTGTGTGTGTGTGTGTGTGTGTGTGTGTGTGTGTGTGTGTGTGTGTGTGTGTGTGTGTGGGACATTAACAGAACTCTAAGCTGTTTCAAAACATAACGACAGTACGATAAATCTCAGGGAGCATGATTAGTTTGAAAAGTGCTGCAAACATCAGTTTTACAAGGTAGCAAGAGGAACAGAGGGGCTTCAAGTGTGCCTTGTGTGCTCATATCTATACGTTTATAAACGTAAATATGTCATTGTCTCTATTGGGTTATTTAAGATCTATTTATAACCTAAAGTGTAGGAAAACAGCCTTTTTAAACACAAATCACCCTTTTGCAAATGCTGTCCTTGCGTTAGTGCTACACAGGGGCGTGCCCAGGGAGGGGCCTGGGGCAGAACATGCCACCCTTGGAATCTGATTGGACACCCCAGGTGCCACCCCACCAGTTCCATTTAAACTGACTTTACATTGTCCACAAAATGCTTGGAGTTATAAAAAGTAACAACTGCAGGGGGCAGCATGCTCCTTCACCACTGGTCTCTGGCCCCAGGTCTACAGAACAATTGCATATTTTTTCCAGGGCTGTTTCAAGGTATTTGGGGGCCCAAGGCAAGATGGACCTTGAAATGGGCGACGGTGGCACAGGAGTTAAGTGCTCACCCCGTAATCAGAAGGTTGCAGGTTCGAGCCCCGCTCAGTCTGTCGCTGCTGCTGTGTCCTTGGGCAAGACACTTAACCCACGTTGCCTGCTGGTGGTGGTCGGAGGGACCGGTGGCGCCAGTGCTCGGCAGCCTCGCCTCTGTCAGAGCGCCCCAGGGCAGCTGTGGCTACATCGTAGCTCATCTCCACCAGTGTGTGAAAGTGTGTGTGAATGGGTGAATGACTGATTGTGTTTTAAAGCACCTTGAGGGGTTCCAGGTCTCTAGAAGGCGCTATATCAAAAACAGATCATTTACCATTTACCATTTGAAATCGACCCTCCCTCCACCCCACAGGAGAGTCATAGCATGGACACACTGATTGCATTAATGTTATTACCTGTGGTACAGTGCAAAACGGTCTGCATATCTCTCACAGTACTGCATGTATGCTAATGTTTACATTTGCAAAAACCCTCCTGCGTGCTGGCTGGCTAGCGGGGGCGGTCTGCTCGGGTGGGGGTCGGCCTGTAAGGGCCAGCGAGCTGAGCTAACACTGTTTGTTACTGCGTTTATTTCATAAATTAATTTAGATTAGTAATTGTCTGGGCCCCCAGAGCAGCCCGGGCCCCTAGGCAATTGCCTTGTTTGCCTGCCTTGTTGCTTCATTTATATATGTGCCATAAAGTGGCTTGGTAACCACTGCAAAACAGCTTGAAGAAGAAGAATAAAAAGAAGAAGAAGGAGAAGAAGACATGGTCAAGGCACAATGTGAAGCTTACAGATTCACTGGAATGCAAAATATAAATGGTTTTGTGAGGGAAGACACTTCCCCACATCCACATCCTGCTAGGGATGGGTACCTTTGACATTTGAATCGATACAGTACCAATTTTTGATACTTTTGAGTTTCGATAATTATTTTAATTGCTTTTTGAATTAAATATATATTATTTTCCCAGTATATAACCATAGTTGATAAATATCATGATAAATAACATACAACTGTTTGTATTTTAATCATTGTTGTGTTGCGCAACATTCTTAAATATGAAAACCTTTAACAACAAATGTCTCTAAATGACGCAAAAAAAAAAACCAGCTCCATGTACTTGTTTCATCTCCTTTCTCCTCTGGACAAACGGTGTGATCGGTGTCCTTGTAGTTTTATAAACGGTGTGATGGCGGGTCCTTGTAGTTTTATAAACGGTGTGATGGTGGGTCCTTGTAGTTTTATAAACGGTGTGATGGCGGGTCCTTGTAGTTTTATAAACGGTGTGATGGCGGGTCCTTGTAGCTTTATAAACGGTGTGCTGTCGGGTCCTTGTAGTTTTATAAACGGTGTGATGGCGGGTCCTTGTAGTTTTATAAACGGTGTGATGGCGGGTCCTTGTAGTTTTATAAACGGTGTGATGGTGGGTCCTTGTAGTTTTATAAACGGTGTGATGTCGGGTCCTTGTAGTTTTATAAACGGTGTGATGGTGGGTCCTTGTAGTTTTATAAACGGTGTGATGGCAGGTCCTTGTAGTTTTATAAACGGTGTGATGGTGGGTCCTTGTAGTTTTATAAACGGTGTGATGGCGGGTCCTTGTAGTTTTATAAACGGTGTGATGGCGGGTCCTTGTAGCTTTATAAACGGTGTGATGGCGGGTCCTTGTAGTTTTATAAACGGTGTGATGGCGGGTCCTTGTAGCTTTATAAACGGTGTGATGTCGGGTCCTTGTAGTTTTATAAACGGTGTGATGGCGGGTCCTTGTAGTTTTATAAACGGTGTGATGTCGGGTCCTTGTAGTTTTATAAACGGTGTGATGGCGGGTCCTTGTAGTTTTATAAATGGTGTGATGGCAGGTCCTTGTAGTTTTAAAAAATGGTGTGATGGCGGGTCCTTGTAGCTTTATAAACGGTGTGATGTCGGGTCCTTGTAGTTTTATAAACGGTGTGATGGCGGGTCCTTGTAGTTTTATAAACGGTGTGATGGCGGGTCCTTGTAGTTTTAAAAAATGGTAAGATGGCGGATCCTTGTAGTTTTATAAATGGTGTGATGTCGGGTCCTTGTAGTTTTATAAACGGTGTGATGGTGGGTCCTTGTAGTTTTATAAACGGTGTGATGGCGGGTCCTTGTAGTTTTATAAACGGTGTGATGGTGGGTCCTTGTAGTTTTATAAACGGTGTGATGGCGGGTCCTTGTAGTTTTATAAACGGTGTGATGGCGGGTCCTTGTAGCTTTATAAACGGTGTGATGGCGGGTCCTTGTAGTTTTATAAACGGTGTGATGGCGGGTCCTTGTAGCTTTATAAACGGTGTGATGTCGGGTCCTTGTAGTTTTATAAACGGTGTGATGGCGGGTCCTTGTAGTTTTATAAACAGTGTGATGTCAGGTCCTTGTAGTTTTATAAACGGTGTGATGGCGGGTCCTTGTAGTTTTATAAATGGTGTGATGGCAGGTCCTTGTAGTTTTAAAAAATGGTGTGATGGCGGATCCTTGTAGTTTTATAAACGGTGTGATGTCGGGTCCTTGTAGTTTTATAAACGGTGTGATGGCGGGTCCTTGTAGTTTTATAAACGGTGTGATGGCGGGTCCTTGTAGCTTTATAAACGGTGTGATGTCGGGTCCTTGTAGTTTTATAAACGGTGTGATGGCGGGTCCTTGTAGTTTTATAAACGGTGTGATGGCAGGTCCTTGTAGTTTTGAAAAATGGTGTGATGGCGGGTCCTTGTAGCTTTATAAACGGTGTGATGTCGGGTCCTTGTAGCTTTATAAACGGTGTGATGTCGGGTCCTTGTAGTTTTATAAACGGTGTGATGGCGGGTCCTTGTAGTTTTATAAACGGTGTGATGGCGGGTCCTTGTAGCTTTATAAACGGTGTGATGTCGGGTCCTTGTAGTTTTATAAACGGTGTGATGGCGGGTCCTTGTAGTTTTATAAACGGTGTGATGGCGGGTCATTGTAGTTTTAAAAAATGGTGTGATGGCGGGTCCTTGTAGTTTTATAAACGGTGTGATGGCGGGTCCTTGTAGCTTTATAAACGCTGTGATGGCGGGTCCTTGTAGTTTTATAAACGGTGTGATGGTGGGTCCTTGTAGTTTTATAAACGGTGTGATGGCGGGTCCTTGTAGTTTTATAAACGGTGTGATGGTGGGTCCTTGTAGTTTTATAAACGGTGTGATGGCGGGTCCTTGTAGTTTTATAAACGGTGTGATGGCGGGTCCTTGTAGTTTTATAAACGGTGTGATGGCGTGCCCTTGTAGTTGTATAAACGGTGTGATGGCGGGTCCTTGTAGTTTTATAAACGGTGTGATGGTGGGTCCTTGTAGTTTTATAAACGGTGTGATGGCGGGTCCTTGTAGTTTTATAAACGGTGTGATGGCGGGTCCTTGTAGCTTTATAAACGGTGTGATGGCGGGTCCTTGTAGTTTTATAAACGGTGTGATGGCGGGTCCTTGTAGTTTTATAAATGGTGTGATGGCGGGTCCTTGTAGTTTTATAAACGG